TCAGAAAGCAATCAATGAAATGACAATAATCACATATCTATCAATAATTACTTTAACAGTAATTACTTTAACAGTAATTATAGAGATTGATATATTACTTTATTGATACTAAATAATTACTTTAACAGTAACTATTGACTACTTAATATTCCAACCGAAAAGGGTGCCTGAAAGGATTAAAAAACAAGACCTGTGCATATGCTGGCTACAAGAGACCCAATTCAAATGGAAAGACACAGACTTAAAGGGATGAAAAAAGACATTTCATGCAAATGGAAATAATAAAAAAAAAGCTAGGGTGGCAATACTTATATCAGACAAAATGGACTTTAAAACAGAGGCTGTAAGAAAAGACAAAGGGAATTTCATAATGATAAAGAAATCAATCTAACAAAAGGATACAACTCTCGTAAATATTTACGCATCCTACACAGAAGCGCTCACATATATATAAAGCAAATATTGACAGACATAAAGGGAGAGATTGATAGTAATACAATAATAGTAGGGGACTTTATCGCCCATTGATATCAATTGCTGGACGATTCAGACAGAAATCATACCATATGACCCAGCAATCCCTTTTCCGGGTATTTATCCAAAGAAATCCAAAACACTAATTAGAAAAGATATATGCACCCCTTCATTCACTGCAGCATTATTTACAACAGCTAAGATAAGGAAGCAACTTAAGAGTCCATTGACAGATGAATAGATAAAGAATACTGGTACATATTCAATGGAATATTACTCTGCCTCAAAAAAGGAGGAAATCTCGCCATTCACAACAACATGGATGGACCTAGAGGGGATTATGCTAAGTGAAATAAATCAGAGAAAAACAAATACTATATGATCTCATATGTGGAATCTAAAAAACAAAATAAATGAACAAAACAGAAACAAACTCATAGATTCAGAGAACTGATAACTGCGAGATGAGAGGGGGCTTGGGGGAATGGGTGAAAAAGATGAAGGGATAAATTGCCAGTAATAAATACGGTCACAGGGATGTAAAGTACAGCACAGGGAATATAGTCAATAATATTGTAATAACTATGTATGCTGTCGGGAGGGTACTAGACTTATTGGAATGATCACTTCTTAAGTTATATAAATGTCTAATTACTGTTTGTACATCTGACATTAATACAATATTATATGTCAACTGTAATTTAAAAAAGCAGATGAGTGGATAAACAGAATGTGTTACAATGAAAAATAATTTAGCCTTATAAAGGAAGGAAACTATGAAACATGCTACAACATAGATGACCTACAACATAGATGAGAACAGTATGCTAAGTGAAATAAGACAATCACAGAAAGACAATACTGTATGATTCCACTCACATGAAGTCACTAGAGCAGTTAGATTCCTAGAGACAGAAAGTAAAATGGTGGTTGCCCAGGGCTGGGGAAGGCGTATGGGAGTTCTTGGGAAGAGTTTCCGTTTGGAAAAATGAAAATAGTCTGGAGATAGTGGTGATAACTGCACAACAATGTGAATGTACTTGATGCTTCTGAAATGTACACTTAAAAATGGTCAAGATGGTAAATTTTATATTAAAAAATTAAGACAGTGGGTAAAGAAAAAAATCAAGAAAGCTGGGAAGATTCAAGATGGTGTAGAGGTAGAGGCTATGCACGCCTCTTCTAGTGACCACACCAAAATTATAACAAAACTACAGAGCAACCAGTACACAGAATTGCCAGAGATCTGGCTGAACACGAGCCCTACAACTAAGTCACCTCAAATAATACGTCGCCTCAAAACAGTGGAATGGGAGGAGACGCGAAATGGCCTGTTCCCACAACTGCATGTGGCAATCAAGAATTGGGAGGGCTATCTTAGCTGTAGAGCCACCTCCCCGACAGGGGTCCCGGCTCCACACTGGGCTCCCCAGCCCAAGGTGCCAGTCCCGGAAAGATAAGTCCCCACTACCTCTGGCTGTGAAAACCAGTGGAGGTTGAGGCTGAGTAAGACGGAGGGCTGCGGAAAGCAGAGACTGTTTTCTTGGAGGGCCTATGCCTGGGCTTACTTGCTGACCGACTCGCTTGTTCTGAGCTCCAGCTCCGGGGCAGCTGCTCCAGGGGCACCAGGGACATACGGGGAGGCGCTGAGCTATTAGGCTTCAGGGCGAGGGCTGAAAGGGTGGCTTGCTTCTGGACAGAGGTGCAGGCAGAAGCCACTGTTCCTTTGTTGAGCCCTCCCTGCTGCATCAACCTGGAAAAGACAGGTTGCTCCGCCCAGGGGATTCCTTGAGACTCTGCCTCTTTTAACTTGTGGGTCCACCCAAGCCGTTTCTAGTGATTTATTCCACACAAAAGGGCTGTCTTGACTTCTGCTGCAAACTTTCATAAAATCTCTCAAGGCTCACAAAACCCAAAGCAGCAGCATCTGGCCTCAGTGTGCCCTGTACCTCTGCTGAGCAGCCCCAAGCCCTGCACCAGTGGTAGGTGGCCTCGGTTTCTGACTTGGCTCCTCGAGGCACCTATAAGCCCAGAATGGGTGGCAGCCATATGTGGATTGCTTGGTGACACTTACCAGGTGGCCCCGGAGATGCACAGGCTGCAGTTGAACTTGGCTTGAAGCTGGACCCCTCCCAGGTCTGTGCCAAGGGGCCCCACAGCACACTCTACTAAGACCGGGAGACTTAGGAGCCCTACTTAATAAATAGAAACAAACATAAAGAGGCAGCCAAAATGGGAAAACAAATATGTCCCACATGAAAGAACAGAACAAAGCTCCAGAAATAGAATTTGCCAAAATGGAGACAATCAATAAACCAAATGCAGAATTCAAAATATTGGTTATAAGGATGTTAAAGGAACTTAGGGGAAGAGCAGAACTCAGTGAGAACTTTAACAAAGAGATAAAAAACATAAAAATAGAGACGGAAAACATAACAGGGAGCCAGTCAGAAATGACGAATACAATATCTGAGATGAAGAGTATATAAGAAGGAATCAACAGAGTGGATGAAATGGAAGATCGAATAGTGACATAGAGGATGGAGTAGCAGAGGACACCCAATCAGAACAGCAACAAGAAAAAGTATCCAAAAAAAAATGAACACAGTTTAAGAAACCTCTGGGACAACATCAAGTATAACAACGTTTTCACTGGGGTGGGGGGGTGGGGGGGTACCAGAAGGAGAAGAGAGCAAAGAACTGAAAACCTATTTGAAGAAATAATGGTGGAAAACTTCTCCAAACTGGTGAGAGAAAGAGAGATATAACCGCAGAAAGTTCAGAGAATCTTAAACAAGAAGACTCCAAAGAGGCCCATACCAAGACACATCATAATTAAAATGCCAAAGATTAAATTCAAAGAGAGAGATCTTAAAAGCAGCAAGAGAAAAGGAATTAGTTATACACAAGGGAACACTCTTAAGACTGTCAGCCGATTTCTCAACAGAAACATTGCAGGCCAGAAGGGCTTGGCACAAAATATTCAAAGTGATAAAAACCTAGGACCTACAATCAAGATTACTTTACTCAGCAAAGTTATCTTTTAGAATCGAAGGACAGAAAAAGAGCTTCTCAGACAAGAAAAAGCTAAAGGAGTTCATCGCCACCAAGCCAGTATTATAGGAAATGTTGGAGGGACTTCTTTAAGAAGAGAAAAATATGTATCAAAAGTCTAAATAAAGAATGGAATAACTACATATCTATGAAGTATTTCAAATGAAAAAGAATTTAATGCTCCAATCAAAAGATAGGGTGGCTGAACGGATAAGAAAACAAGATCCTTATATATGCTGCCTACGATATTCACTTCAGATTAAGACACACACAGACTAAAAGTAATGGGATGGAAAAAGGTTTTTCATGAAGGATCTATCTAGAGAGTAGTGTGCTGAGTGCAGTAAATCAGATAGAGGAAGACAAATGCCATATGACTGTACATATATGTGGAATCTAAAGGACAAAATAAACAAACAAAAAAACAGAAACAAACTCATAGATACAGAGAACATTTTGAGGGTTACCAGATGGGAGGGTGGTTTGAGGGGGTGGGTGAAAAAGGGGGAAGGGAGTAAGTAGTACAAATTGGTGGTTACAAAATAGTCACAGAGATAGAAAGTACAGCATAAGGAATACAGCCAATAATATTGTAATAACTATGCCTGGTGTCAGAGGGGCACTAGATTTATTTGGGTCATCACTTTGTGAGTTATATAGATGTTTAATCACTATGTTGTACATCTGAAATTAATATAGTCCTATATGCCAATAATAACTGAAAAATAAAAATTACTAATTAAAAAAAATCAAGAAAACTGCCTGTAGAAAGAAGAAAGAAGCCATTGCTATCTGCCTAGCTGACTTCTCTAAGGCAGACGGTCCCTAACTTTATAAGGTAAATTTCAAACGCAGTGGTCATTTTTCAAGTTTATTTGCTCTGCTGTTCTCCTGCCTTGTGCTGGTCTTTGTTTTACTAAGTTTCTCAGTAGTCACTCTGGCTCCATGACCCTACCTTTGTATGACTAATAGCATACCAGGAAAATGTATACAGTGGGTGAATAAGTACTCGTTAATTGTACTGATTTCTAAAAATGTCTCCTGGGTGTTCTGAACAACCACTCCACCCCCAAACTTTTCCCTTTATGAATTCTTCTCCTAATCTACTTACTTTTTGGGCAGAGCTAATTGACTGTCATCATGAAAATGAGTTAAAGAGATGGGGTGATGAACTAGCAGGGTAGTGGCTTTGGATTTAACTTGGGCCTGAGTACTTGCTCTGCCACCTAATAGATCTGTGACCCATATGCAGGTCAAATCTCTTGTCAGCTTCTTTCCTATTGTAATAGGAGACATATTACCTCTCAGTGGGGAGTAAGATTTAAGGATGTAATTAAGACATATTCTCAAAACTCAGTCCCCATTAAGTTTCCCCCACCGCGACTCTGCCATTAGACAGAAAATTCAACTGTGCTCTCCAGTAGGCAAAGAAAAATGGGGCCCTGTCCACCAGTCACAGAAATTGGGTGTACCTTATTATCTCCGCCTGAGACAGCTAGGATGTTAGCTGTGATGGACCAGCTCACATGCCACACAACATCATTGAACTTGTGCAGTAGTTTGGGAGACCACATGTTGCTTGAGGCATCATCACAGGTCCAAATGAACACACGACCATCCTGGGAAAACACAGGAGAGTCAGCAGATGGGGGCAGGAATTATGCATTGATATCTTCCCAATCTGGAGCCATATTGGACCTTTGCAGGAACAGGTTGGTGGATTCAGTGCAAAGCATGGTGTCCACAATTTTGATCGCCAATTTCCAGCCCAGTACCCATGCTTTTATCCCTTTACCCCAGGAATACACTTCACATAGATCAAGAGTCTTGAAGGTTCCTTTCCTCATACTGGTATATCTTTGCATTGCTAACTCTCAAATTTTCTCTGGGGTTTTTCCTCATGCCTGCCAAATCATGTTTGTTTCAGCTCCCTCTGGCTCTATTTATACTTTCTCAACTGAATTCGTATGGCTAAAAACCAAGCTCAGAGAATGAGGAGGTTAAAAAAAAAACCCTCTGAAATTTAAGACCAAACAAAACAGGCTCAAATGAGTTCTTTGGTTTATGAGTTCTCCTAATCTAAAAGTCCTGGTTTAACCCTTGCCTAGAGTGTTGGTAGCATATAATTAAAGGCTTGTTCTTGGTCTTTCTTTTGTGATCTGCCTAGGAAGAGTGGATAGTAGACCACAAGGTTTTAGAATTTTCCATTGCCCTGGTCCTTGCTTGGAAATAGACTCTCAGAACTGCACCTGGGCACCTCCACTCTCTAATTACACAAAGGTCAAGAGGGGAAACTGATCCTGAATTTCCCTGCTCTTGGCTCAGTGGAGGCAAGCCACTTGTGTCTTCTGATCAAGAGTTCATAGTGTGATTACCTGGCTCCAAAAGCTCCCCTATCTCCACTGGTCCAGAGGTGCCTGTTGTCCTGCCCTTACCTTTTAAGGACTTTCCCCTAATGAGACTGCAAGGACTGATGGAACTTATTCAGAAATTAAATAACATGGGACACTCTCATGGGTCTGAGCTGACCTGGGAGCAGCTGGCGATGGTGCTGGTGGGTAGGCCAATGGAAGGGGCCCAAGCCACATCTCGAACCCAGTCACTGTGTGCTTCCAGCTTCTGTTCCTCCTTCCACTGACCATCTTCCTCCTCCCTAATAGGGGATATTAGTGAGAGAATCCAGCAGATAGCAGCCCAGGTGACTTTCCCACACCTCCATTCCTTCCCAATCCCATTGGCTCCACAGGGGCTGAGAAGCTATTCCATCTTTCTGATTTCATTTGTTGAGCCTGTAGAATTTTATTCAGTTCACTAGCTATAATGCTCTGTTCCTTTATAGCCAAGTCGGCTCTAGCAGTTAGGAATTAGGCAAAGAGTAAAAGTGCTTGAGAAAAAGGCACGTTATCTTTTTTTTTTAATGGATGTCCTCTGACAGATTGACAATAATATTCTGTGGGCAGGTGGGAAAAAGAAAGGTGATCCTGTTTCTTGTGAACTGTGGCTGAGTCATGGTAGGTAAGGAAGAAAGAAGTATCCCTTGAGAAGTTCAACAACCCCACTTACTTCCACAGCTTGATGAGGTTGTCACAGCCGCCAGAGGCAAACTTCTTGATGTAGTTGGGCTTCTGCCCTGATGGCTGGTCTATGAGGCTTCCAGGTACAACGGCAGGGGCCCAGCTGACGGCATTGCAGCCAATCTGTAAGGAGAGGGACTTGTGGGGACTCTGTCCTTTTGCCTTGCCATTGGACAATGCTTTGGCAGATCCAAGGCTGCTGCTCATTTCCTCTCCAATACTCAGGACTGAATTATGTAGGACAGCTGTTTTGATGAACTAAAGATTAGTGACTCTTAATTCTCCTTCAAGGATTCCTAATAGTGCATGTATTTTTTCAGCAATATGCATTTAAAATAAGAATTAGGAATTCTCAGGAATTTAACATTTTTTAAGTCATGAAGGGAGGGCACAGATTCAGAAAAACACATAGTAAATATATGGCTTAATGAATTACTCTAAAGCACTCTTGTAATTGCTACCAGGTCAAGAAATAAAAACTGCCATTTACTTAGGAAGCCCTATCATTGTGTCCTATCTGAATCACAGACCCTCACCCACTGTATGTAACCATTATCCTGACTTCTTTTTTAGTTTTGTCATCCAAATGTGCACCCCTAGACGTGACAGTTTAGTCTTGCCATTTAAACACTTTTTGGGGATTCTTTTATATATCCTAATTTATAGATTCCTCTTCCGACCCTCTTTTTTCCTTACAATTTTTCTGCTGAAGAATCAGTCATGTGACCTGTAGTCTCTCAGGCTGGTTTCTGCTGTTACATACTTAGTTCGACATGTTCCTCTCAATTCCTAAAAATTTTCAGCTAGATCAAAGATCCCTTTGCCAAGACTAGGTGTATGTTTTCATTAGGAGGCACATGTCAGATTGTCTCCATTATTAGCACCTGTCAATAATTTATACCTCTCTTAATTTACTAGGCATTACAAAATGGTGATACTGTAATTCTATTAATTTCTTTGTCATTTATTACATTGAATACTCTAGATAGGGGCAATTCCTCTCATTAATATTTGGTCCCCCAGGGGTACAGATCAGATAGGAAAGGCAAGATATACTTCATTCTTTCTGAACTGGTTCCCTGTCTTTCTCCAAAGATGACTGATTCTTTTAAATATCATTATGAACTCATGGATTTAAGCGTATTTGATGGGTTTCAGTTCACTGCAATGATTCTCATTTTGACACTCAAACTGCCCATCTTTGGCAGTGAGCCTGTTCAAGCTGGTTCTTTTGACATAACCCTAGTATATCAAAGTTTGTTTTTGATAATTTTTCTATCTGGTATGACAAGATGTTCCAAGCTTATCTTGTACATTTCCTGACTCAGACCTGGAATAAGCCATTTCCTCAAGAGCTCTGGTTTCTTTTAGTGATGTTCACAGTCACATTATTATTTATTTTATCTTATTTCACAGAACAGTCTCAGAATAATATTGCCAATATGACTACTAAAGTCATTTAATAAAGTGTTTGCAATGCTCTTTCCATTCTCCCTCACAGTTTTTTTTTTGGGTGGGGTGGGGTGAGGAGGAAGTGTTTGTGTATAAATGATGCCAAAATAAAAAAATCTAGATCTCTAGCTGTTTGTGTGCCATACTGCTTTTAACAGTTGCATTCTATCTACCCTAGGAGAGCACATGGCCATTACATCCTATATTCTACCTTCTAACCCTCATTTAGTCTTAGTTCCCTACAATATATTTATATAGGTATCCCTTGGAGATATTGCAGGTCTGGTTCCAGACCACCACTATAAAGTGAGTATCACAATAAAACAAGTTGTAATATTTTTGCTGGTGGAAGGTCAGCCTTCAATTTGTAAAAAGAAAAAAAAAGCAACATCAGTGAAGTACAATAAAACAAGGTACACCTGTATAACTGTCTTTTTAGTCACTTTTGTTGTCTGAAACTTATTTTCTAGAAGATACCTTAAGAAAGGCACATGAAAACTATAGTCCTTGAGCTTTTTACATCCAAATCAAAATTTAAAAAGTTTTGAGGTATAGTTGACATTAACTGCACATAAAGCATACACTCTGATGAACTCTGACCTATGTTTACCCTGTAAATCAAGATAACAAAGAAAGAAAGACAAAACAAAGCAAAAACCTATAGGGGATACACAAAAGATAATGAGAAAGGAATCTAAGCATACCACTAAATAAAGTCATCAAACCACAAGAATAGAGCAAGAGCAGAAGAGAGGAACTATCAAGTGAGAAAACAATGAACAAAACAGCAATAAACACATATGTATCACTAATTTCTTTAAATATAAATGGACTAAATTCTTCAAAACACATCATAGAGCAGTGAATGAGTAAAGAAACCCAAGACCCATCTATATGCTGCCTACAAGAGACTAATAACTTCAGATGTCAGGACATACACAGACTGAAAGTAGAGATGGAAAACGATATTCCCAGCAAATGGAAAACAAAAGAAAGCTGGGGTACCTATACTTATATCAGACAGAACAGACTTTAAAACAAAGACTGTAATAAGAGACAAAGAAAGACATTACATGATGATAAAGGAGTCAATCCAACAAGAGGATATAACATAAATATTTATGTACCCAACACAACAGCACCTTTGGATATGAACATATTCAAAGGGAGAAACAGACAGCAATATAGTAAGATTAGGAGACTTTAACATAAATACGTAACATACATACATACGTAAATGGACTGATCATCCAGAGAAAGTCAATAAGAAAATATCAACCTTAAACAACATGTTTGACCAATAGACTTAACAGATATACACAGAACATTTCATCTAAAAACTGAACATTCTTCTCAAGTGCACATGAAAAATTCTCCAGGATAGATCATATGTCAGGCAACAAAATAAGTCTTAATAAATTTAAGAAAACTGAAATCCTATCAAGCATCTTTTCTGACCACAATGGTATAAACTGGGAAACAATTACGAAAAAAAAAAAAAAAACCTGGAAAATTCACAAATATGGATATTAAAGAACATGCTACTGAACAACCAAAGGGTCAATGAAGAAATCAAATGAGAAATAAAAAGTATCTTAAGACAAATGCAAATAGAAATACAACATACCAAAATTTATGGGATGAAGCAAAAGTTGTTCTAAGAGGGAAGATCGTAGTGATAAATGCCTACCTCAAGACACACACATACACAAATCTCAAACAACATAACTTTACACCTCCAAGGACTGGAAAAAGTCCCTGAAACAAATGAAGTCCAAAGTTACTGGGAGGAAAGAAATAACAAAGGTCAGAAAGGAAGTTTATGAAATAGAGAATAAAAGACAATAGAAAAGATCAATGAAACTAAAAGTTGGTTCTTTGAAAAGATAAACAAAATTGACAAACCTTTAGACTCACCTAGAAAGAGATGGCCCAAATAAATAAAATCAGATGTGAAAAGAGGACACATTACAACTAATACCAGAGAAATACAAAGGATCCAAAGAAACTATTATGAAAAATTATACACCAACAAATTGGACAACCTAGAAGAAATTAACAAATTCCTAGAAACGTACAACCTTCCAAGACTGAATCATGAATTAATAGAAAACCTGAATAGACCAATTACTAGTAAGGAGATTAAATCAGTAATCAAAAATCTCCTAACAAATGGAAGTCCAAGGCCAGATAGCTTCACTGGTGAATTCTACCAACATTCAAAGAATTAATACTGATATGTCTAAAAACCTTTCCTTTGAAAGGGAATGCTTCCAAACTCATTTTATAAGGCCAGCATAATCCTGATACCAAAACCAGACAAGGATATCACAAGAAAATTACAGGCTAATATCCCGGATGAACATAGATGTGTAAATCCTCAATGAAATACTATAAAACCGAATTCAACAATACATTAAAAGGATCATACTATGATTAGGTGAGATTTATTCCAGGGATGCAAGGATGGTTTAACATCTACAAATCAATCAAAGTGATATATCACATTAACAAAATGAAGGATAAAAATCATATGATCATCTCAGTAGGTACAGAAAAAGCATTTGCTAAAATTTGATATTTATGATAACTTGCAACAAAGCTGGTATACAGGGAATGCACCTCAATATACTAACAGCCATATTCAGTGGTCCCCAACCTTTTTGGCACCAGGGACTGGTGCTCCCATAAGAATCTAATGCCTGATGATCTGAGGTGGAGGTGAGGTGGTGATGCTAGTGCTGGGGAGATGCTGCAAATACAGATGAAGCTTCGCTTGCTCGCCTGCTGCTCATCTCCTGCTGTGCAGCCCGGTTCCTAACAGGCCATGAATTGGTACCAGTCCACAGCCCGCAGGTTGAGTACCCCTGCCATATATGACAAGCCCACAGCTAACATATACAACAGTGAAAAGCTGAAAGCTTGTCTCAATCAGAAATAAGACAAGGATGCCAACTCTCACCACTTTCATTCGACACAGTATTAGAAGTCCCAGCCAGAGCAATCACAAGAAAAAGAAGTAACAGGCATCCAAAGTGGAAAGGAAGAAGTAAAACTGTTGTGATTTGAAGATGATATTATATATAGAACACCCTGAAGGCTCCACCAAAACACTTTTAGAATTAACAAATTCAGTAAAGTTGCAGAATGCAAAATATACAAAAATCTTCCTATATAAACATGAAACAATATTTGTATAGAAAAACATCCTCACAAATAACTGGAAGGTGATGAACATCAAGTTTTATCTCTTTTAGTTTTTAACAGTTGAAATTCTTTGTTTACTCTCTTCTTTCACTTTTTCCTTCAGTGCTGTCATGCAAGTTCATTACTGTGTTTTCGACAGTAATCAATTTATCTTCTTTGTACTGCTTTCAATTTTGCTGTTATTCTTCGTAGGCATCTGTTTCTCCAACTCTGCCATCTCACAAGCTCTCTCTCACACACAATATATATATGAAAATCTTTTGCATTTCTATACACTAAGAATTATCAGAAAGAGAAATTAAGAAAACAATCCCATTTACAACTGCATCAATAACAGTAAAATATCTAAAAATAAATTAACCAAGGAAGTGAAAGACATGTACATGCAAACTATGAGATAATGGTAAAAGAAATTAAAAAGACACAAATAAATGGAAAGATGTCACTGTTCGTGGATTGGAAGA